CATAAGAGAAAACAAAATTTCAAAAGCATACAACGGGCTTGGATTGCGTCGCAAAACACTTTATCCGATGCCTGACAGTGTATAATGGTGTCAATCTGTAGACGGTCTATGAAAAGGTCATAAAGCTTTTCAGGCCAGCTTGGAACATACAGACACCTTTCTCCTTCACTTCTCTCATAGTTCCAGCTCCTGCAATATTCTAATATCACCTGATGCGATGCTGTCGAGAGGAAAAACTCGAGATCACTGTCCTCAGTCAAACACTCTGTTACAAACGCGTACATGACGTCATGTCGTATGGTGTCTGATTGAAAAGTGAATTCATTTTCTTGTGTTTGTGATATTTCAGACAGAGATTTTTTGGGTATCCCTATGTCAGTACACTTTGGTAGATCTGTAAAATATCGTTCTCTGAGTTTGTTAAAAATTGCTGCATGGGACTCCTCATTGACTTTAAGCGTGTATTTTCCCAGCAGAAGAAGGCAGTAAAGAATACTCCGATCTTCACAAGAGAAGGCATGGTATTTGCCTGGAATTCAAAGTGTTAATGTAATGTTTGTATACAATTGTATTATTTACATGTTCGATAAAATCTCTTATTTTATTGAATTTCTTAACATTTAGCAATACTCCGTACACAGATCCATGTTCTATTTACAAACAATTTCTTAAAACAGCCAAGCCATTGACAAATATTTGATGAAACAAGGAATATCAACATTCTCAATTTAATTCATCATTTTGAAAACTCATGACAGCAAATACAATCCATCATTATGTCGAAGGATGACAGATATTTTTACAAATTTCTGCTTGCCCATTTTTTCATAGTAAATTGCCGACGGATTTTTCCTTTTTTTGTCCGATCGTGCCATGGAGAACACCAAGGAGGTTCCTCCTCCATGACATATGATCACAACTCTAATACACTTAAAGGTCTGTCTTCTCCAAATTTGTATTGTTTCGGCTTCTGAGTTTGATAACTGTTAATTTTCTTCGTAATGCATGTTATATCGGTATATGAATTGATCTGATTCACTCAAGGGCAGCATATTCCTAAAAACTATAATATTAAACCAAATCTTTTGAAGATTTTGAAAATAATTCTCAAAAGTCCAAACCTATATCTCTGCTCCATTAATTTTAACTCTTACATTTAAGATCTTTTTATTTACGATCTTGTCGAAAAATGAGGCATTTTAAAAAAAGAAAAGAAAAGATTTTTTAGATATATAATTGTAAATGTCCTGCTTTGAGAATCCGAAATTAAATTCAGTACTCTGTCGTTATTACCATGGTTATAGAGAATTGTTTTTCTTTTTAATTAAATTTGGAAATTGATTTATTTTAAAAGTATTTAATGACTATTTATCTATTTTATCATTTATTTAATTGTGACAAAATTGCAGTCTATATACTTTGACGTGTCTTGAAAAAAAGGCTGCATGCGTGAATACGTGCCTGAATGCCTACAGAGGAAACATAGCATTATGCATTTTAAATTTCTTTTTTAAAAAAATAAATAAATTTTATTACTTGGTTCTCTATAGGCCTTGTTGCCGATGATATATATATCACTATGTTTACGGAGACCTATGCAGGATCTAACTATGTTAGGTCTCGCATCTTGTAGATATTCCCATTTCCAAAGTACGTGCCCCAAGCTGTCGTTTTCCTCTGTCTGTAATCTGTGTAAATATTCTAATTGTTCATTCTTACTTTTTTGCAGAATATTTTCGGGAACATTCACTGGAAAAGAGAAAGAAAAATATTTTAGATAAATAGCTTTGATATAAATATCGTGTCTCGGCCTTTAATTTTTATTTTCTAATGGAAGGGCATGATTGCCTTCCCAAGATCGACTGGTGGAAAACGGCAATATCAATTTTCTTTCCACTCCAGGACATTTCTTATTAATCCTCTTATCCCGTCAACAAATATATTTATATTTAGAGAAATTTCTATAAAAAGAAGTTTTCCTACCTACATGTACCTACCGATCCAATTTCTTTACCTTGGGTTGGGAGAGGGCAAACAAAAATAATTTTAAAATGGCCTTAAATTTCAAAACAAATCCTATCCTTATTCAAAGTACACAATATATCGGTTTGTAAACGTGAAAAAAGTGAGGCAAAAATTAAAAATGTTAATGTTGGTAACGAATCGAAATACCTTTCGGTCTACAGAATACAATTACTCTTTAAGATTCCATGTTGTCGTACTTACATATCTGAGAGACAAGGTGAAATATTGATGTATCTTCAATAGTAGGATGAGAAATGATGTCCATCTGCAGACGGCTTATTAGTACGAAATTCCCGACAGCATCTTTACTGTTAACACATTTCTCATCATACTTTCGATTGTATTCCATTGATCTCAGATACTTTTTAGCTGTCATGAAACTAGATATATGAAATAAAATGTCACAAGACTGCTTCCCAATACGGTAAATGGTTTCGTCTGAGACTTCCTTAGTAATTCGCAGCTCCCCCTCGTCATCATAAAGGAATTTTAAAGATTTTAATTTTGTCACTGAATTTTGGACTTTTTCTGCAGTTAATCTATTCCTTTTGCCATACACTTGCAGCCGTATTACGTTAAGTTTTCTCAGCCATTCGCATGACTCGGTTTTCATGAAATTAGGGCAATCCGAGTCAGCGGACAAAAAGCAAAGTAATATGCATACTTCGTCGGCAGTCAATTTGGAAAAGACGTCTGAAAAAATAAAGTTTGAATTCCCTTTTTAAATGACAATGAAATAGATCAAAAATTGCTAATAAACATCAATGATATCTGACAACTACATGAATAAAGAAATATTTTCTCATAAACACATCTTATATTGTCAATTATCAATGGTTATTTGCACCCTTTGTCGATTCGATATATTCCAGTGAGACTAAGATAAAAGACACCGCAGAGTCCGACATATCTGTTTCATATTTTAATATTTTATTTGAAAAAGATGTTAATGGTAATCTAACAACCAAGCTCAATGATAAACGTGAGGGCGCTAACTTTTCAATCATCAACATCCCTTACTTACATGGTTGCAGCAATATACCTGCATATGGAGTTTATATCGATACGCAATTCAATTTTTTCAAATGATTGTACTGTTAGTTTAATTTTTAATGCCAGAAAAATTACAAATTTTGAGTGCAAATGAGTCATATAATTGATTGTGCGAATTAAGTTATAAGAATATTTAAGGAATCACTGTCTAGTTTTGAGAGTATGCCAGGCCATCAACAATAGTGGGAAACATGGGATAATTTGCATACCGGGCGAAGCCCGTTATGCTAAAATTATCCCATGTTTCCCACTATTGTTGATGTCCCTGGCATACTCTCAAAACTAGACAGTGATTCCTTATATTTCCATTTCATTGTGAAATAAAATTTTAGACTTAGACATTAAAAATGTAGACTAATAGATTTAAATAACACGAGGATTTCCATGCCAATTTCAATAGTCCTCGCACACTGACGTCAAACACAAAGGCAGCCGAACGAGATTTACATGCATATTTGACCTCACATCTGTTGCAACCACTATTGATATAACGACCACTATAAAAATAATTATATCAATAGTGGTTGAGAGTGCATTTCAATAACACACAAATGTAATAACCACTATTGAAATACGACCACTATTGAAATAATTATATCAATAGTGGTTGAGAGTGCATTTCAATAACAAACATAGTTAGTAACCACTATTGAAATACAACCACTATTGAAATAATTATATCAATAGTGGTTGAGAGTGCATTTCAATAACACACATATGTAATAACCACTATTGAAATACGACCACTATTGAAATAATTTTATCAATAGTGGTTGAGAGTGTATTTTGATAACACACATATGTAATAACCACTACTGAAATACGACTACTATTGAAATAATTATTTCAATAGTTGGTGAGATTCAATTCAATAACAAACACAGGTTGCAACCACTATTGAAATAATGTTCACTTTTGATATAAAAATTTCATTATGGATTGAATTATGGTTTTAGTTTTGTAATATTACCAGCAACGATCAAAATAATTATTTAAATCACTTTTGAAATTATAATTTAAATACCTATCTATATCTTAATTTAAGGACAGATGATATAAACAAAATATGGAAGCATGGATTTGTATATATTTTTTTGGGTCTGATTTCATTGAAAATGATGCAAATAATATATTTCTAGAATATAAAGTATTTGTAAAATTGTTAACCTTCCTTATTTATTTATACACTATAATTACTGACCTATATGTTTTCCACCCCAAATCTAATTCTTGTAAAATTTTGGATGAAAAATTAAAAATTTTGTGGTGAAACTTTTCTTTCAATACTGGTCGTATTTCAATACTGTTTGAAACCTATGGTAATCATATTGAAAAGCACTCTTCCCCGCTATTAGATAATTATTTCAATAGTGCTCTTATTTCTATAGTGTTTGAAACATATGGTTATCATATTGAAATGCCCTCTTAACCACTATTGATACAATTATTTCAATATTGGTCGTATTTCAATAGTGGTTACTAACTATGTTTGTTATTGAAATGCACTCTCAACCACTATTGATATACTTATTTCAATAGTGGTTGTATTTCAATAGTGGTTACTAACTATGTTAACTTTGCTATTGAAATGCACTCTCAACCACTATTGATATAATTATTTCAATAGTGGTCGTTATCTCAATAGTGGTTGCAAGACCTCCTTAGCGTCAGATACAGAGACAGATGCGCACGAGATTTGCATGCGTATTAGGCCTCCTTAGCTGTTGAACTATCGACCTGCCTAATTTACATTCCGGAAGAATTATGAAGAAATAACTTCCCCAAGCTTTCAAACAGTTATCACAGAGAAAAAATTACAAAATGGAAATATTCTTTGTTCATAAATTTTAAGATACTATTCAGGACGAAACAATTGTGCTTGTTCCCGTAATTTATTTGAATAAAACAAGACATTAGATGAAAAATGTGATGATGTTATTTAAGACTTAATACAGTACAAAAAGGTCAATACATGTTCAATGCTTCGTAACGCCTATAGAAGTGCATAGACCCCCATGTTTAGTTTAATTTTTAATTAATCTATACCGGTATGTGTAGATTCCAAAACTTGATCCCTATACTTTTTATGAGCTTGAAAGGATTTACAAAAGAATTGACTTAACTTTGAGATAAAAAGATGAAGAATTAGAGATGTGCATTTCATAGCATAGAGTAAGTACATATTATGTCAAATATGATATCTAGGGATGGCAATTTGTAATCGGTTAACCGGTTACTCAGTCGGAACGATTAAAATCGGTTGGAAAATCTGTAATCGGTTAGACGGGGGAAAAGTAAAAGTTTGTGTAAATGTCAAAAAATTTTACTAAAATCTTAATTAAAAAAAACAAATTAAAAAAATTCCGAAAGGTTAGAATTTTTGACTATCAATTTAATGTGATCTGGAGATACCGGTAATTGATACTCACCGGATAAGTATTGCTTGGGTAATTGGTCAGTTTTCGAAATGTTAAATAAATTAAATTTGTTGTTTAAATACATTCCGTTAAGGCGGCTTTACACGGTAATACAAGTCTTATGCAACTTGTCGTATACAACTTTTGTAATATGTTCCTTACCTGTCCACACGATTAAACAGATTTCTATTTAACTCTATTGTCATGCAAATGAATAAAACGCCCAAATTCGAAAGTCTTTGTACATGTGAAAAGTATGTAATTTTAACATAACTTTCTTACGAATTTTATATAGAGATCTAGAGCATATCACATGAAAATCTCATAAAAGTAATGAAAAATATTATATATATGAATATTGAACAAACCATTTCAAATGATAGCCACAAGATGAAATATTTTATATATCATTATTACTATAAATTGATTTTTGCATTATCTACAAATAAAAAGAAAATTGCATGAGTTTCATGTGAGCCATTTTTCTCAGTGTATAATGAATATTCACACATAAGTTCCTCGAATATCTATTTGTTACTATTCGTATTATTCCAATACTGTTAATTACTTGTATTATACATGTTATATTTTTGTGATTGCTTAACTTGTTTTAAACTCACTAAATAAAATATCCACCATAAAAAATGTGTGCAATACGTATAAGAGATTTTGTTAGAAAGTTTTTAATTATAAAGAAGCCCAATCAATAGATAGTAAATGCGCCAATAATATTTTTTGAATTTAGTTTACGTAACTGAGAAACGTATCGTCATTCATTAGATACATGTAATCATTAAAAAATTAAGACAAGAATTTGTAAAAACGTCTCAATTTTTTTATAAAGATAAGAGTTTTACCTTCTTTATAATGTGGTTATTTACATTTTTTTTTAATATAGTTTTAGATGTATTAATTAAAAGAGCACTATAACAATATTAGTAACGTTAATAAAAGTTTTTTTTTTTATTTTTTTTTTAAATTAAATTTACAAATGGATGCATTTGTATTGAAAATGCAGATTCATAAGTTTCCAAGTGATATATGTACTTGAACCGTATCTTACTTTAAATCAGCGTACAAATATTTACCAAACAATTCTATATTTGTTGCAGGTACATGTTTTTTACATTGTACATGTCTTTATCGTTGACCAGTCACTTATGAACAAATTAAAAACTCAAGCCGTTCATTGGTTGGATCCAGAAAGTCGTATACGATTTGTAGTACAGTATAGGAACATGCTCTACTCGAAAAACTGTCAGATGCGACTTTAGAAAGTCGTATAATACAAGTAATAGCGTATTTCACACCGCAATATTTTGCTGTATACGACAAGTTGTATACGACTTGTATTACCGTGTAAAGGCGGCTTAAATTACCTAGCCAGTCATGCTTTTCTTTAATGATTTTAATTAAATGATTGTTCAGCGGCGTGAACTGATTATAATGTGTATGCCCCCCTTCTATTCGTTGTAATTACCTGTCCAATTATAAAACAAACATTGTAAATTAAACGAGAGTTGAATTAATTAAATTAAACACTGCTTTTAAGAAAATTGTGCTCCTTTGTAAAGAAAATAAATAAGATATGCTCCCCGGCCTGAATTCCCATACTTCACAATTATGGTAACCTACATTTTTTTTTTGTTTTTGTTTAGTTTCTTACTCACGCATGCATTTCTAGACCTATTGTTGTATATAAAATCACCTATATGTTTTCTGGTCTCTCTACGCTATTGTAAAATGGTGAAGAGATTCAAATAAAATGATTGATTGGCTCTGAACCTTTATTGTGCTTATTGTGACTTTTTTGACAAATCTATGAACATAACTGAGACTTGCATGTCTTCCGAGTTCCTCCAGTTTTCTTTTTTACGATATTTCTTGTTTTCCTTTTTGAATTGAAATAAAATATAAAAAGTGGTCTGATTAAATGTAATCATTATGTAATATTCCTACATATAACATTTGTTTATTTTAGGAGAGCTTAAAATGATGAAATATGCACATAATTTTGATACGATTAACCGATTAATCGGTCGGAACGTCTTGCGTTTAACCGATTGACAATTCTATATTCGATTGCCATCCCTAATGATATCTAAAGTACACAAATCAAATACTCACCAAATCACTACAGGGGGAGATATGCTACGACGCATGAAACAAAATAATATCGGTTTTAATTATGAATAAACAATTGTTTACCTACTTGATACGTTGGTTCTCCATAA